CTGAACACAATAGTAAACGTGATGAGAAGGAGATTTTATTTGCAATGGGCACGATATTTCGAGTTATTTCAGTCAAAGAATACGATTCTACATATTTAATAGGTTTACAGGTTGAAACTCAAGTACAAGAATGTCTATCGAAGTTAACAGCTCATTTACGCACTGATAATATGCATTCAATTGCAAGTGAACTTACACTCGGTAATTTTTTACTCAATATGGGTGAATTTCATCAAGTCCAATAGTTCTATGCAATCATGCTTCAACAGAAAGCGTTAAGTAATGATAATGATAGTGAAAAGGCATTACTTTATAATACTATTGTAATGCTACTTTATTCAAACAAGCTTATGCTATGGCAAAAAAATATCGTTCATTGCTGTCTAGTACTGTGAATAATCTCGGCTTAGACAATCTAAATCAAGGTCGGTATAATCGGGCATTGAAATATATTCAGCGTACCGAAAAGTATAACCGATCGGCAAAAAGATTAGCAAATATACTTTCAAATATTGCTTCAACTTTTATTGCAAAAAGTCGATCCAAACAAATGAGCAAGAAGTTATCTACGACGCGTATGAACTGTGCAGCAGAAATATTCACCACCTTTGCATTTCGACTTTGTCAGTTTGTGTAAGAATTTAGGAGTAGTTGAAATGAACATGGAAAATTATGAAAAAAGTTTAAGTTTGTTTGAAAACACATTGAGTATTTATCAACAAAGTTTACCATCTAATCATCATCTTATAGCTCATGCACTTAATAATTTAGGCGTTGTACATAGTCACCTGGAAAATTTTGATCGAGAGCTCTTGAATATTATGATCAAGCATTGAAAATACAATTATCATCCATCGAACGAACGAAGGATCATCATTTATTGGTTGCTCAGTCAATGAACAATCGGGCTGCGTTACAATTCGAAAAAGAAGACTTTCCGACTGCTGAAAGTTCATTTCAGCGTGCATTGGATACAAAATTAGCAATCGAAGGGCTTGACACAAACTCACATGCATCATTGGCAAATGCTTACAATAATCTTGCAATGGTTTAACTAAAACAGGATCGTTTTGAGGAAGCATTAGCTAATTTTGACCGTACATTGAAAATTGAGCTTTCAATTGGTAATGCGGCAGATATTGCTACAACATATAACAATATAGGCAGGGTTTATCATGAGAAAAATAATTTTAGCAAAGCAAAATATTTCTAAAAGGGTGTGTGTGTGTGGGTGTTAGTACACAGAAGACCTACAGATCCCATCGAAATCCACACCCAAATAGACGAAGTAGACCCTTGGCCTATATAATTATCCTTTGATTTGTCTACCCACTATTGGCCTATGTGTCCAATGTGGATACAGAGTTTCTCTGTACGATCGCGCGCGTATATGATAATATAAATCAATCAAATTTTATTTTATTTCATACAAAAAAAAGAACACTAAATCAATTAATCAAAAATTCATTCGACTGTCTTGTTGTTTCAAACGAGTTTTCACACCAGCAGAGATATTGTTATTCCCGGAGAGGTATAATCCCTGCAGTGTCTTTAAAAGAAAAGAAAAAGTGAACATAAGAAAACAATGTGTAGAAAATTAATAAATTTCACTTTGTTGGTTTTTAGTGCTTCTGCAAAATGCTGGGCCCCACTGTCTCTAATTTGATTGTTTTGAAGGGACAACTGAGTGAGTATCTAAGTGAAACAGTGACGATGAATATGAGAGTGCCAATGGTTTGAAATCATTTCATCGTTCTCTTTATCTCATGTTGGTCTAGGGTCTGACGGCATGGAGCGTGCAATTTTTGAGTTTCGTGGAGCTCAACATGATTAGTTACAAACTTCATAGAAAACCAATCTGATTTGTTTAATTTTGAAAATTTTTGGACTGTATTCAGCTAAAGCAGCATTATCGAGATCTTAACTTAAATGTATCATTGATGGCGATTTTCAAAGTGAGAAAATCTCATTGGTTTTCTATAAAATGTTTATGCAATCATTTTGTATCTCACAAAACTCGAAAACTGCACGCTCCGTTTCATCAGACCATAGACAAACAGGAGAAAAAGACGAGAACAACAAAAACTCAAGTGACAACAGCTAAGTAAGACTTTTGCAGATCCTATCTTCCTTATGAATTTCTCCAATAACATCTCTTTGTTTGTACATCTCAATTGTTCTACTTTAATGAAGGAAATAAACAAAATAAAGGAAATGTATTTGCGCTTTATCTGTTGCAGGTGTCTAGTTTACTCTTAATTTTACAGCAGACTTATTCTGAAACATGAGATAATGTTGATAGAATAGGCGTTGTCGACACTTTCATGACTAAAGTTTATTGACAATTCTTTAGTGAACTTTTCTA